ACCGGTGGTATTGGCACCTGAACCAGTGAGGATGCTGTTCCGCGCTTTATCCCGGCAACGATGGAGTTACAGTTGGAGGTGGACACACCAGTGTACGCCAACAAACGAACCCATGGAAGATTTCCAGCCGCCACAGCACAGCCCATGGGCGTCAGCTCCGTGGTCCCAAAAAACCGGTTACAAAAGTAAAAGGAATGCCTGTGGCGGGAGAAAAGATGCCACACAAATGCCATGGGCAAACCACCATGTAATAAATCCAACGTTTGCTCCAGGCCGCCGTCCAAAGCGGAAAGCCGCACAATTTCCCGGTAACCTTCATCATCGAAAGATTGAGAAAAAACGAGATATGGCATGTCGCATGGAGAAATTTTCATGGGTGCTGGCACCCCTGGTGATAACAGCAGATGCCGGTGAGCCCTATCCAAATAGAAGTTCATGAGGGAAGCAACAGATGGCGTGTTATCGGTGCGTTTTTCTTCCATGGAGGATCGGTCAACGTGCTGCAGAAGTACACGCTCATTCAAAATTTTGTAAGCGATCTCATGGTACTGCAGCTCCATCGCCGCATGCAGAACTGTGTAACCACCCTCTCCTTGCGCCGCACTTCTTGCAGCACAAAGACGCACAATGCGGGAAATCTTGGGGTTGCATTTTTCTTTCCTTCCTCCACTCCCGCATAGCCCCAGGCCAAGAAGAAGCAGCGCGCCCTCCGAACAGCCTGCTCTGAGAGCATAGTCCACAGGATTCACTGTAAATTTGGTTGTTTGTATCGTCGCAAGAAGATTTTGACTGGCTTCAACGTGAACGGAACCAACGTCTGCTACAAGCAGCAACGAGGACCGCAGCAACCTGCTCAGTGCCGGCCTACCAACCAAATAATGCAAAGAGCAGAGACCACTGGAAACAATATCTTCTGTAACTGTACGTGGTCCATAGCAATCTATCAAACTCTCCACGGTCCGTACCAGCCCTTTTCCTGCAGCAACCCGCATGATGCTCGGCAAGGTGTACACGTGCCCGGCCCGAGCCAGCATTACCACACCTTGGGCAATCAAAGTGTCCTGCGCCTTCGAGGGTCTGCGCGGGGCTCCATCGACGAGAGCCTTGAGCGCGTCCCGGCGAAAATCCGTAGAATCTGTGCATTTCGCCGGCGACAATGGCCCAACAGAAAGAAGAAGCTCCATGGCCGTAATATCACCGAGTCGTGCTGCTAACCACAGGGGAGACACTTCGCGCTCTTCGCGCGCAAGTGAGCGCAATTCATGTCCGCCCATCGCAGGAATGGAACCTATTAAATCGACAGGTGTTCCGTGAAGAATGAGGTACGCGAGAAGTTTCACATCACGGCACGCCACAGCTGAAAGCAAAGGCTGTACCGAAAGACTCAGACGCTTCTTCAACGGCACCTGGAACTCCCCCTCCAATATTCCCAGTACATCCAGACAGCGAGTGCGAACACAGCAGAGAATCAATTCATCCAGCCACGCACCCGCACCACTCAGATCCGACACATTGTGAAATCTACATGTATCTGTCAAAATCTGCCGCACCAACGTCGTTTCCTGCGCGGCCGCTAAATCACAAAGAGCGGAAGACAACAAACCCGCTTCGTCAACGTTCACATTCGCGCACTTTATGGAACGACAGAGTGCTCCCATTCGTGTGCCGCGGCACACCACATGACGGCGACATGGAGCCAAACCAACAACGAGGAACATGCGGAGAGCATTAGCCTGCTGCTTATCAGCCGCATAATCCGCGGCATTCCAGCCACGATAATCTGGTCCAGCCCAAGGCTTCAGCCCCACATCCAAAAGGAGCCTCTCCAGGAGCTCTCCTTCATTGGCTTCAGCACAGTAGCTATGCACGTCACGAAGCCGCAGACGGTGGAACAGTACCCCTGCTTCCCGTCGTTGAATGAATAGACGCTTAAAAGGCTTTGGTGGGGTATAAAGTCCCCGTCGGCCCTTCACTGATACAAGACGGGAAGCCTTTACCCGCAACGGCGCCACTGTCGGCTCAATGAGAACAAACATTCTGTTAGGTGGTGGTGGAGCATCATTCACAATCCCACGGAGAACTGATGCTGGCAGTGCGAGAAGCTTGTCCACCAGCACCCGCACAACGGCAAAAAGGGAACGGCTCGCTGCCAAATGAAGAAGCTCCGTGGGGTGCATAATGTCACGTGAAGCAAGATCCAGAAATCCCGCAAGGTGCACACACACCCGCTCGCAAGTAATACTCTTCCTTCCACGAACACTCTCCATTGCGTGCACCAAAGCCTGGGAAACCACCAGGGGTGAAAGCACATGGAGTCCAAGTAGGGCCCGAACGACTGACTCGGCGCCTCGCTCTGCGGCAGCACGCAGCGCAGTCCAGGAGCCATCAGAAGCTACAAGCCTCGCACCAGCTCTCACGAGACGCTCTACGACGGCGTGATGCCCACCGTTTATGGAAGCCAATAGAGGAGTCTTTCCGCCTGCAGTAACATTTGGATCAGCCCCACGTGACAATAAGAAGCTCACAGCCTCGGCATCCCCTAACGCAGAGCTCACTAGCAACGGATAGCCGCCCTCAGGAGAGTTTAGGCTACAGCAACCCCGTTCAATACACCATCGAATACCAACGCCGTGATTCAAATGGCAAAAACGACTGAGCAGATCATTCGAAGATGTTAACTTCCCCACACCAGACGCGACCACACGGTCTGCAAACTCATAGTGTCCTTTTGTGATCAGGTAGAAAAGAAGCTCAACCACCTCGTCCCCTCTGGTCCCTGCGCCGTGAGACAACAACATCTCAATTGTACTCACGTGGCCACGCCCCCCGCGGAGAGTGCAGAGAAGTGGTGTCAGTCCTTGTTGTTCCCCCACCACCTGCCTTGTTGACGCCTCCCCAGCACGTTTTGAAAGCCGTGGCAATATCCGTGTCTTTTTCAGATATCTCGAAGACACGATCCCGCATGAACACGACAACGTGACATCTGCGCCATGATCAACAATGAGAGAATTAGCTGCAAGCGTCATCCCGAGCTCGCAAAGCAGATGCAGTGCGCCCATCCCACTGTTGTCACATGCGTTAATTGCGCCAGACCCGCGCGGCAATACCGAAATGAGGTAGTCCACCACGGCCATTGAATGTTGCCTCCTCCTTAGGGCCGCCACAAGCGGCGTGGCGCCTGTGATGTCCCGCACAGAAATAAACCACGGGTACCGTTCATGAAGAAATCTCACCGCCGAAATTTGGCCTCTCTCGGCCGCCAGGTGCATGGGAGTCTGCGAGCGGCTGTTAAGCATCTGTTTATCCGTCAAACGCCCAAATTTCAGCTCATCCAAAAGAAATTTGAGGACATTCACATGCCCACAAGCAGCGGCCACATGTAGTGCCGACTGGTGAAGAAGTTCATCGCACCCCTTTATTGAATCACGTGAAAATAAGTAATGGTCGTAGAGAGATTTGATGGCGGCCACATCGCCCTCCTCGCAGAGCTGGATAAACGTCGGAGAATGCAGCTGAAACATATCCATGGGTGAAATGCCCACGCCGTTTTTGCAAAAGCAAAGCCTCTTTGCCTCGATGCCTGTCGCGCGCAATCGCTTGCACAGCAATTCCACGATGCGGTCATTGCGGAGACGAAGCGCCACATGAAGTGCGGTGTCACCACCGTTGTCCGTGAGAAGAATGTCAGCACCAGCCTCCAGCAGCCTTGACACGACAAACTCATTGCCGACTCTGACCGCGATGTGCAAAGGTGTTTTGCCCTGTATGTCTTGTTCATTGACTCGAATAAAAGAAAAGGAAAGAAGGGACACCACTGCCTCCAAGTGGCCCTGATAAACGCATTCATGCAGCACCGTCCGCCCAAAGCAATCCTTGACATTGCCGTTCCACTGATTCAGCAGCGTGAAAAGTTCCTTCAACTGGTATGGACGACCATAGCTGCATTGCTGCAGCATCTGGCGTTCAACCAGCACGTCTTCTGGCATAAGGTTCTCCGGCTCCCCCTGGGCAATAAACACAACTGCCAGCGCATCCCGACATGGCACGTACTCCCCTGGCCGCGCCAAAACCTTCACCATCGGCGGGGTCGGTTCCATCATCCACCCGGCCACAGTAGACATGCCCCATGCGCGCGGCAGTCTTGGAAAGACGTCCACCAGCAATAACTTTTCCTCGTGATGCTGCTGAATAGGCAAACATCCCCCACACTTGACAAACGAAAAGGCCAAACTGAGATCGAAAGGGTGCAGTGGGTAAGACATGGCCTTCTTCCACTCCCCCTGTGTCACGTTGACAGGCGCCCCATGCACCTCCAACCCGCTCGGAGCAGCTGCATCCCCACGAGCTCGGCTTGCAAGACTCCTCAGCAACAGCCGAACATCCCCCAAAGACGAGTTGAGTCGGATGTGAATGGTGCCAACCAAACGGCTGCCGGTTGCGCCCCCAGTGCGGACCTGACACAATATGGGTGCGCCCAGGGGTGTTCCGTTCGCCTCGGCAGACCGCATCGCTTTGCTGCACCCGTGTAGTGTGCGCACGTACAGAATAAAGCGTGAGAGAGAGAAAGAGAGACACCAGAAGAAGAACTGTGTCTACGCGTGGTCAGAGCTGGAACCTTCAATGACCTCAACACGTGAACGGGTAAAACAAAAAAAAAAAACAAAAAAAAAAAAAGCAATTGCGAACGCCTCCTGCCCGGCGACCCCGCAGAAGAAAACGACACTCTCTAGCCAGAACCTGGACATAATACAAAATGCAAGACGAGAAGAACAGCACTCATTACTGCAAGCGAAGAGCCCTTGACGTCGTCATGACAATATTTACCCTCAGCTCTCTAAGTTCCTTGCTGTCTTTTCCTCCTCTCCTCCCCCACTCTTAGTTATATTTTTTTTCTTGCGCATTGCAATCGCGCCATGCAGACATGTGAGTAGAAAAAGCACAGACCCAATTTGATCCTTCTTTCTTTTTCTTGCTTTTGTTGTTGTTTGGTTCCTCTGCGACTACTGGATATGCCGTAGACGCTCCAGGAGGCCGCCGCAATTTACGCACCCGCCGCCTTCCACCAATGCGCAGCCCAAAACAACATCGCAGACCGCCCGATCCACCCGCGCGTTGCTCCAACGCGGTCGCAGCTGCCTCACCACGCCACGGAGAGTCGAGAGGAGCAGCTCCTCATTGATGACGCAGTCGCACGATGTGTCTAGACAGACAATCGATTCAGTCACGGCGGAAAGACCCTCACGGCCCAAGTTGACCGCCATCATCCTCACAGCAATGTCCGTCCTGCAGTCATCTCCCACCAAATCGTCCGACGGTGGCCAACCCTCCTGCGCCATCGCTCGCCGCACCTCCTCCGGAGGCATCTTCTGCAAAAAGATCATTGACTCCACGCATAACGCCACAGTCAAAGCCACATGTTCCTGGTCCCAAAAGTCGTCTGAACTAAGCAGACTCATCCTCAGAAGCTCGCGGGCCCTTTGGCGAGACATGGTGTACAACTCCTCTATATGCATGCGGCCCAAATGGGAGCGTATCCGAGACCGTTCTAGGGGACTAAGCCGCCGCCAAAGTTTTCCAGAGTAGTCACAAGGCAGCACACAGAACCGAATTGTGAGTCGGCGAACAAGCCGCTGGAGTGAAAAAACCCCTTCACTTTTCACCTCCGCCGCTGCGGTACAATACCGGACTATATCCCACAGTGCCACCTCCTTCAACGCCGGAAAAGTGGCCCGCAGCCTTTGCGGCAACTCGTCAAGCTGCTGCAAGGTATAAGAGTCCGGGCCAGAACTCAACAGACACAGAGCAAGATGACGGCCAAAATCGTACGAAAGATCCGCAAAATGACGCATCGACGACTCCAGACGAGAGAAAGGAGTTGGCACATTCAAAAGCATACTTCCGGGATCGTCCAGGACGAGAGACAAAAAATGCCCACAGTTAATACCGCCAATGGTCTCTTCATGAGGAGACAAAAGAAGTGCTCTGCGACAAATGTGCGACGCCAATTCTTCGGGGTCGCAGCCCAGCAATCTCTCCATGGTCAGAAAGCCATCTGTCAGAGAGGCAGAAAACTGCGCAGCTGTCAATGTTTGCTTGTTGCATAAAATCGATTCGGCAACACGCAAGACCAGAAGCACCCCATAGGGGGAGAAGGACCGTCGCAGAGGAGTCAGCATGCCACCGCAACCGCCGGAGACAGTCCTCCGTAGCCGACCCCGCTCCTCCAGAGATTTTAACGGAAGACCGATAAGTTGCCTGGGGATCACACCGTTGTTCTCCTGCAGCGCACGGATGAAATCCGAAGCGTAAAGCCTTCTATCAGCATTGCGGCCAACTCGCGCCATAATCAAACCTGTCAACCAAATGATGGCATAATTGGCCTTGCACTTACCGAGGCTCTCGGAAAGGGCACTGCATAATTCCTCTTCGTCAATGAAGCCATCCCCATTTGTGTCCATGTTATCAAAGACCACCTCTAGTAGACGCATCTCGTCGTCCGAGAGCTCCACGGAGACGTTGGTCGCGAGTCGCCTCACCACATCCACGTGCCGAGCAAAAAGCCCCAAATACGAGGCCAAATCAACCGTCTCGGTAGTGCACGGCAACCCCAATTCCGTCATTTCTTCCCTGAAGGCATTCTTCAGCTCCTGCAACCGCACGACTCCGTCACCGTCCGTGTCCAGATGAACGAAACTGTCACGTAAGAGACGCAGCTCCTCTGAGCTCAGGCAGTCACATGCCAGCGCCCCCGGCGCCAGCGTGTAGCGCATTCCCGTCCCTCTCTTTATCCTCCACCCAGCCCCTTTTCCCTTCCTCGCGCCAAACACACACACACACACACACATAAAAAAAACGGAAAGACAAAACCCCACAGAAAGCAATATATATATATATACATATGTATATTGAAGATGTGAAGATCATTGATGAAAAAATCAAAGGGGAAAAAGGGGAGTGAGCAGAGATGGCTCCCGCAGTGGCTCCTGCTCGGTGCCACATGGATAACCTCATAAAAAAGACAGGGAGAGAAAAACAATGGAAAAAAAAAACCTCTCCCGCGACCACACACATTTTTTTAAAAAGCCACATTAAAATAAAATGGCCGATTCCTATGCTCCCTACCGATAAACGCAGTCACAACTCACCCCCATTCCACTCCACTAATATTAATTGATCCCGTTCCCCCATTCCCCACCAACCCCCCACATACTCCACCTCTAGCCCCAACCAAAAATAATAATACTACGTATACACCGAAGACGCCCTGCACTACATGCGAGTTGCGAGATCCAAGTATGGCGAATCCATTGACCACATTGTAGAAGTGATAAAATACTTCTCCTCCATTCTGTAAAGGTCCTCTCGAGGAATACCAAAGTCTTCCCAGTCTAACATCTCTGGATCACGCTCCGGGGTGGCACAGTTGTCAACGAACTGTCGATCAAGCCAGTCTTTATTCCACGCTGGTGCCCGTGTACCCAAGGCAAAACCCTGATGAACCGGAAGACGCTCATTCAACGCGCACCCAATGCGCCACATCCATGTTGGCATGTGCCATGTAAGGTGCAAGTGACCGTTGCACTCGGAGCACCAGCGTAGCAAATCGTTTGTTGTGAATCGCACGGGTCCGCCCAACTCCGCGATGCGTCCCTCTGTATGGTCTAGGAGAAGGGAACGGCATGCAGCCTCTGCTAGATCACCGGCAAACACAGGTTGGTGGATTCGTTGCCCGCGATTTGGTACCGGAACAATCTTCAGGTAACGCTCGGCCTTGAGGTACTTCGAGTAACTGAAATCGTTCTCAGAAAAATATCGGTCCCGCGAATGATAGTGGCCGTGGGAAATTCTTCGAGCACCGCAATTTCTGCCTCACGCTTCTGTCGGAGCAGCTTTGACGGACTGTTTAAATCTGCGCCAACCATCGACATGTGGGTTAGGCGGAGAATACCCATCTCACGACACCACCGCGCCAGCATACGTGGCCACTCCACATTGATCGCCTCCATTGAGAACCACGACTGGCTATTCTCGTACACAGCCGGCTCCTGCCATGCGCCAACAACATTTATGACATTGTCAACTTTCTCTAATATGGACTTCACCACAAACTCCTTGTCGATCTCATAGTCCGTGTCGAAGTTCTGTCCGACAGTGCCGTCGCCAGCCATACGAAGAACTCGCACGCCACTGGCAAGACCTGCACGGAAACGAAACGGCAATATGCTGGTGAACCCATGATAACAGCAAAGATGGTGAACATGCATGCCTAAAATCCCAGTGGCACCGAACGTGACAACATTGACACCCATCGTATTGGCCTCTGAACCGCCACCCCGCCACGTTGACGAGATCTCGCCGCCCATGTTCCGCGCAAAGACACGGCGCGACATCGTCGGGCTTCCCTACCTTCCCGCACGCCCCAAATTAAACCTGCAACGATAAAAAAAAAAAAAAAAAAGAAGCGTTTAGAAAAAGGGCAAAAACATATAAATAAGTACATCTGCATTCCCGTGCAAGCAATGGGGAAAGAAAAAGGCGGCACAACGAGAGGGTCCCCACTCCTCCCACCGCACAGCCGCATAATTATTTTATTGCCTTCTTACAAAATTTTGGCATTTTCTTTTTTTATTTCAAAAAAACAAAACAAGACAAAAATGAGAAAATAAAAAATAAAAAAAACAGCTTCCTCCATTTGCCTACTTCTTGCCCTTGAATAAGGCCAGCGCTTGCTTCTGCGCTGCCACCTTGTGTGCGTGACGACGAGCCGAATTGCGCTGGCGAGCTGCACGACGGCGGGTGCCGATTAGATGCAGGTACGCACGGCGTTCCTCGGCAGACTTGCGGACCTTCTCAATGGCGACCTTCGCCTTCTTGGCACGGCGTGCCTTCACAGCCGTCGTGATGAGACGCTGAATCTTGGGCGCCTTGAAGCGGTCCTTCTTCCCCTCCTTCACGACCTTGCGGCGGATAACGTACTTGCGCACGTCGTCGCCGCGGGAGAGGTTGAAGAGCTTGCGGATCTTGTTCGCACGCTTTGGACCGAGGCGGCGAGGCACCGACACGTCAGTAACACCCTCAATTGGCTGCTCGCCGGTTTTCACAATGACGACATTCAGCACCGCAATGTCGCTCGCGAGGATGCAGCCACGGAGAGACTTGCGGCGGCGCTCGCCCTGATACCCGCGGAAGGTGTTGAAGCCGACGGCGCCCCGCTTCACGAGGAGCGACACACGACTTGGCGCCATGACACCCTGCACCATCGGGAAGCCCTGCTTGTCGGAGCCGCCCTGCAGCTTGAAGGTGTATCCCCTGAAGGCATCACCAAAGATGGCCCCGTCAACCTCGTTGCCGAGACGGTAGTCCGTCAGCGACACGCGGCGGAGCACCTCCTCGGTGATCTCGAACTGCTTGACGGTCCCGTTGCGGGGGTAGGCGATGTTAAGCTTCATTGTGTTGGCTCAAGGAGTTGCTGTGAGGAAAAAAATCAAGAAAAAAAGAGGGGGAAAGAAAGAAGAAGTGGTCAAAACAAATTTGGCAGCAAAAAAAAAACAGAAATTCTCTCAAACAGTTGTGTGAAACCAAAAAAAAGAAAAAAGAAAGTCGGGGAAGAAACAAATAGATAAACCCACACACACACACTTCTCCTAATACCACACCACCGTCGAGGAGGCCTTCCGCAGCCATACACCAAAGCTGCCGTCAATGACGATGGAGCCACCGGCGGCCACGGTTGAACGCGCGTGCAGGAGACCGAGAGTCGCCTCAGCCTCGGCTACTCCATACTGCACCACCGCCGTTTCGCACTGTACAAGCCCGGGGCCGGATGAGTTTGCGGCAGAAACGTATTGTTTCAAAGCCAAAACGTCCTCGCCAAACACTTCCCGTCGTCTGCGATACAATGAATGGATCATCGGCGATATGTCAGATTGCTGCGGCGCCACAAGGGTGGCGTGGTAGAGAGAGCCAAGAAGAGCAAGTGTGTAAAAGTGAAGATCAACAAAGTCCGCAGAGACCAGGCAACTGCCGAGATCGCAGCCTGTGCACACAAAGCCATTCCAAAGAAGCGTGGAAAGACACCGACTAAGGAAGCCGTGTGGCAGCTCACAACAGAGTAGTTCGTACTTGTGCGAGCGAACAGCGGCATCACGGTGCAGCCGCTTCCTCCACTCCGGCTCTGCTCTTCTCTGAGGGAGTTTTTCACGGCGGCTCGAGCAAAGTGACAACAATCCCGTGAGCACATCAACACACCCCCGCAGAGTGGCCTCTACGCAGTCGTCATGACGATTGCCATCGATGCGGTGAGTGAATCCACAAGCCAACTCTGTCACTTCGGTCACGGCTTCCACAAATGTGCCCATTAAACGGGCACGTTGCTTGTCCAGTGACGCCGTCATGAGCGACGCAAGTGGACTGTCATTGGGAACCAACGAGGCCGCAAGCGCGTAGGAGTTAGCGACGCGGCAAAGACCCTGAATGTCGTGGAGCACCCGTGTGTAGTTCTTAAAAGAAGGTTCCTCACGCGCCTGAAGCACGAGAAAGTGCAGCACCTTTGCAAAAAGACTACTGCTCTGGGTAACACTGGGAAGTCTGCGGCCGCGTTCAAAGGGCGACAGTACATGAAAAAAGGCTGACGCCGCCTCGCTCTTCACGCGGCTCACCTCCAGAAGCGCCGCAACTATTTTACCCTGCATCATGGGACTTAAGGACTCCAGAAGAAAAAGCTCAGAGAGGGTCGCATCCGACATGCAACGCATCAGTGGCGTTTCGATGATCTTCCGGATCACCGCCTCAATTTCTTGGCGCCGGCCGGCGCGAAGAAGACGAAGAAGATGCAGTTCATGACAGCGGACCCACGCTGGAGTCAATGCGTCGTCTGGCCTGGCCTGCATCTCCGACCATAGCCGCATCCACGCAGCATCGCTCTTCTCTGGGCTCACATTGTTCATAGAACAGCATGTCGCAAACGCTGTAGCAACATCCGCTGCAGTAAAGTTGGACTTAGACAACGTATTCGCTGTAATTCTTGACAAATTCACCGCGGGATCAGACAACAATCCAACAAGACACTCACCGAGTTTCAAAGACGGGGCCAAACATGTTGCACACAGAAGTCCAAGCGCCGAGACGCCACCATTATGGCTCTGGACGGAGTAAATACATCGCACAAGAGCAAAGGCAAATGCCCGCCACGAAGTTGATGTCAAGTCTGCATCTCTCCCTTCACGAGGCATATTCAGACGCTGTGCAACAAATGGCGGCCACAAACCTGACGGAGTCACCATGGCGACACACGCACAAAGAAGAACATCCGTCGAAACACTACAAGAAAAAACTTGTTGGAGAGCAACACAATTCTCACGCTGCGCAGATTGAAGAAAAGCCGCAACAATCGCATGGGGCTCACCAAACACCAGCAAAGCCTCTAATTGTAATAAGGACGAGGAGGAGAATAACGCAGAACGGCGCGGAGCCGGAGCGCCTCGGAACGGTCGATGCTTCATCCCCCCGATTGGGCTGCGCATCGCCATTGCGACGCCCCGCGCCAGCATCCTGCGAGTACTACGCGAGGCTTCCTCTTACAAAAAAAAATAAAAAAGGAAAAAAGAAAAAAAGTGAAATGTGTGAGGAACCACGCCACTACGACCCCCTGCGCATTGTTGTGGGGGCGGTGGTTACTTCCATCAAGGGGGAATGCGTTCATCGGATACACAACAGTTTCATTTACACGGATTTTACTTATTTGGGGCATCCAAAACTTAATAGGTGCTGAGCATCGCCAAGAGCCGCTGCGGCGCCAGTGACAATCTCCGCGCCCTCACGGCTGCCTCCTTCGCGCGCCGCAAATCCTTCGCCACTTCACGCTCAAAAGCCACAAGTCGAGCCCAATCGGCCGCATTCAGCTCCGCTGGCAAAATTCTTGCGCGCGTCTCTGCCCGCCTCGGTACCTGGTGCACAAGTGGAAGAAAACTGTTCGGGTGCTTTGAAAGGGCGTACATTCCTAAAAGACGTTCGTGGGCATCTCTTGCCTCCTGCACAGCACCGCCATCCCTTCCTCCCCGCTCCAGCGCCACTGCCTCAAGGAACGGAATAGCAATTTCAGTATGTGTCTGACGTGGAAGCGGTTCGCACAGCCGAGCCACGCAAAGAACAGAACGTACGCCTTCCACCCAAATGTCGCTACTATTGTGCTGCAAACAGGCAATGAAGTCGGCGCGGGTCGTCGTGTCCTTTAGTCCCGTTAGTGTCTGCACACGAACGGACAAAAGACCCCAACAGCCCTCAAGACGCTCTTCTTCCGCCACTTGATCCAGTGAGCCATGCGGCACACCGGCGAGAAACTTCAGACCCGCCGAGGCGTAGCTTGCGTTGTTTGTGGTTTTGCTTCTCTTCTTATCCACAACGTCGTCGTCAATATCACTCTCGCTGCTTACTGAGGAAGGTGTGCGGGAGGGCTTCACCCTCGGCTTGCAACGCAATTCCAGAAGGTGAAACACCTTCCATAGAGCGATGGGAGTCTTTGACTTGTGGAAACGCAGTCGATGGAGGCCCTCAATCCCTTCACTTTCCCCAACAAGGTGAAATTCCCGCAGAAAAAGCGTCAGGGCATGTTCCACCGCAGAAACATCCTTCACGTCGCACAGGGAAAGGACCAACCGCTCAACATCGTCTCCAGAAACAAAGCGCGTCACGGTTTGAGAGACAGAAGACTCAACCGCCTTTCGATCATCAGGCAGCAGAAAACGCCATATCCGCCATGTGATCGAGTTGCTGCTCTTTCCCTCATTTCTTGCCTTTTTGACTTTCACGGGTAACTCCTCTGGAACCGTCTGCAGAGCCGCCTGCACCCACTCAGCTGCTGCGCTTGCCAGGCGCTGCAAAAAAGACGCATCCTTTCGCCCACACAAACACTTCACAGTCTCATTTATGCTGATGTGTTGGTTAGAAAGAAGGCGGCGGCACACGGCGGAGACACCGCTCGCTGAAGTTGACTCCCGCAAAGCCTCCAACAGTGGCTCCACCTCCGCAACCGCCGTCTCCCGCAGTCCGCCCAGGGCCAAAAATGATGAAATCCTCTCAGTTTGTGCGAGTGTCAGAGACGCCGCAAACGCCTTCACAAGAGCTGCCCTGCGTTCAGCCGGTGTGGACGCGTGAAAACGACCCTGGGAACGAAGAAATGATGCAGCATCCCCCATCACGCCACGGTCAAGCATAATCACGTCGATTCTCAAAAAGTCCGTCACAAAACGGGAAAGCCCTGCTCCGCCCCAATTGTGTGATGCAGTACGGGAAGGGCCATCGTACGACGTTAATGCAGACAGCATCTTTGAAAAGGCGGATGCCATCAGCGTCTCCACAACCGACTTGGTAAAACTGAACCGCATTGCGCTCTCCAGTAGCAGCTGGACCAAATTCGGACCACAGGCAGGACTTTCAAGGGCCTCCTCCACGACAGCCTTCACCAATGCCAGGTCCACCACCACGCTGGCCAGAGCCGCGTTCTCCTCCCGCAGTTCCTTCACAATGTCTTTTGGGGGGCTTTTTTGCTCCTTTTTAAGCCCCTCTTCCAACAGCTTCTGCAGCAGGCGGTCGGCAAAGTACAGTTCCAGAAGGAATGCGGCATTCCACACCTCCGGCTGTGCACCGGCGGTGAGGACGGCCTGCTGCACAATGACACGGCCATTGTCTGTGTTGCCCATCTCGATACCTTCGTAGAGGGCTGCCTCCACCCAAAGTGAGCTGCGGGTCGGGTAGCGCACCATGAGCTCGCCGTAGAGTGCGGAAAGACTGGAGTGACGGTTGTGAGCCTTTAGGAACTGAACAAATTCCCTGCGCAAAAGCTCTAACTCATCCCTATCTTTTATATGTTTGATGCCAATGCGGTAAATGGTCTCGATACGCTCCAACACGGCCCAGCGATGTTTCAGCACCAGCTTCGTTGTTCTGCAGTATTCCTCTATCCGTTTCTCCAGCCCCAACTCATACGCCACGGCATTCTGCACATCCAGCAGCAGCAGTGGCTTTGCGATCAGACGGTACTCCCAATGTGTCCGTTGGCGCGCCAAATCCTGCGTCTCGTCGTGGGTGAGGAGTCCGCTTGTAAAGTACTCCTCAAGAGAAGGAAGCAACCTCTCCAGGCGTGTCTCAACCGCGCGTGCACGAGCCATTTTTTACCTACTACTTGATTGTGTGAGAAATACAGTGAATTGTCTCTGAATGTAATGATGGAGGAGAAACAGAACAAACAGACATCCATGAAACAGCAAACACTCCCGCCACCACCAACCCACACAGTCAAAGAAGACAAAAAAAGAGAAAATATTGCTGATAAAGAATATGTATACAGAAAGAGAGAAAGCAGCACAAAAACACCACCACCACTACCCAAAGAAAAGACTCATCGTGTCCAAAATTATTCGCACACTTTGTATTGCGCACAATTTCAATTTTCCCGCCTCGAGGAAAATTGTTTCCCCCCATTAGCCCGCAGAAAACCCCTTCCTCTCCACCCACAACCTCAATGTTGCCACGAATTCTTCTTGCATCCCATCCTTCTGAGCGAACATGCGTCCCGGGATGTTTTCGCCCACATAAATAAGGAAGATAAAAGCGCGGAAATGCAAAAACTCATGCACACCGGAGAAGATCAATAACAGGACTAAAAGGCGCCAGCATGCGAGGGAAAAGGCTCCCCGCCCTTTCACTGCGCTCAAAAACATACGCAGAAAAGAACCCATGCTTCTTTTCCCCAGGCTGCGCCCCTCCCCTCCTTCAAGCGGTTCGCAGCCAAAAAAAAAAAAAAAAAAACTCCAATCGGGAAACAGACTCATCCATCGACTCGTTCACTGGCCGCGCGGGCAGAAAATCTGTTCGGGCGGAGTGAGGGCACAACACCAGCGTGAAATCCTTCGGCCTCAGCGGCCAGAGAGTGTGGAAGAGACAATCGCGTTTCTCCCAACAGCTCGACTAAGGGTGCTGCGGAACAGGCCGTGCCCTCGGCTTTGGGGAATCGCTTCTTCGCGGCTGCGGCGACACAACTCCCGGCTACATTTCCCGCCGGGAGGGGCTGCTGCACACGTGGCTCTTCGTCGAGAGCAGACAACTGCATCGCATCTTCACGGGGAGGAGCAGCCCGGCCGCGCCACGCCGTGTTCCAGCTGCTCCTCTCCCCCTTCGCCCACAGGGGCTCCACGCGCAGCCGCATTCACCGCCACGTCCCTCGGCGCGTTACCCCCGACAAATGCGGACCGAAGCGCCTCTCACTCCAGATAAATTTTAACAGGGTGCATGCAACAAAGAAACGGAAATTTCTCTACTCTTCTCTTCTGCAATAAACCCACCACACAGGAATAATAGGAACGAAAAAAAAAAAAAAACATAAAAGAGCTCCTGATGAAATCTTTCAGGACATTTATCAGCCCTGGCGGCGGCATCCACACTCACAGTAGAACCCACATCTCCCTGGCGGCGCTGAAAGTAAAGAAAAAATAAAATAAAATTAAGTTAAAATTAAAATGATCATAAGTGGTTGCCCTCTGTGAAGCGTTAACTTCTTTTTTCTTTTTCACTCAGTTCCTTCGGGATAAGGAAAAGAACCGGAAGAATTGAGGGGGGGGGGGGGGGAGGATGATATGAGGAGCGGGTCTTTTTCTTCTTTTTTTTCCCCCTTTTCAAAGAGGGCCGGCACTCGCTCCCTCGTCTCTTCAGCCAACGGATATAAATAAACATATAAATTTGTTGAATATCGCGAACCTCGCGTGGAGTCGGACGTTCTGTCCTCCATTTTCTTCTCATTTTTTTGTATATCACTATTCTTTTCGCCTTCCTTTTCCCCCCTCTCCCCATTCGTTTCTTTGGAATGTGTTTGAGTTCTCTTCCTCCTTTTATTTCCCCCACCCCCCGCCCCTTTTTTTTTTCCGCTCCACAACCGTCCCGTAAGATTTCGAACGCATCTTCAACGTATGTACGCGTGTATGTAATTGCACAATGCCCATAGTTAAGTAACCCCATGTTATTATTTCGTCCTCTTCATTTTTGTTGTTGTTTTTGTTTTTTCTCCTGATGTTAGTAAATGATACTACGTGAACGCCCACCGGCTTACAGGACTATGTAATCTTAGGTAAATACCACAATGAAAATACAAAGATACATAAATGTCATCATCATCAATCCATTTGGTTTGATTTCATTCCGTTTTGTTGGTTTTATTTTGTTGTTTTTGTTGTTTCGTTTTGCGTGTGTGTGTGTGTGTGTGTGTGTTTTGTTTTGTTTTTTTTTTTGTGTTTTTGTTTTTTTGTTAGTTTTTTTTTTTTTGTTGGGCGGTTATTTTGCCTCACTTGTGCTGTTTGCCCACCGCCCCCTCACGGCAGACCGAGGAGGGAGAAGGCGGCCCACTCCTCCAAAGGTGTGCGGTCGGCGATACATTGCAGGTATGCATCCCGAACAGAGGCAGCCACACTGCACCCGTTCGCCATGGAGGCGGTCACTGCCGCCGCTGCGACACGATCGCTCGTCGGCAGACGGCTGTTGATGGCGATCAACATGCGGCACGCCCCCGCGTACTGCAACGAGCGGTACACGGGGATGCCGGTCTCATGGATGGACAACCCGCTGTAAGTCCCAACACCGGTGCAAATAACGAGTGCGTACGGGCGCATTTCCCACGTGTTGGCGATTTCACTTGACTGGCTCGCAATGACATCACTCGAGGCACCAACGAACATGCCACAGTAATCCTCCCGTACCTCCGGCATTGCCCGAAGTCGTATCTCGAGCACACCACCCGCCGCGGCCTCCTCGTGCACCGCACGGTAGAGAGCGTTACGAACACCCCGTACCTTCCCGCGGCGGTGCAAAGCGGAAAGAAGCCGCTGCGTCGCGGCGATATCCGGGTCCTCCGATGGCAACTCGTCCTTTTCATCCCCACCGTCATGAGCATCGCCAATCCTCCGGGTCTCCTCGCCCAGCTGCTCATCGCGCGTCGTTTCCACGCCCGACGCTGCGAGGTCCTCGTCTATCACCACACGACGCACGCAGACGCCCTCTTCAGCTGCCTTGGCGAGGTATGCGTCCAACAACACTGAGGAGTGCGCGGCGTCGTCAACAACGGTGCATCGCCTGGCCTCCTTTTCCTTCCCTTCCATCGCCATCGCGTCTGCAAAGTGCGTGCAAAGAAGCGCCATGGAGCAACACATGCTCGTGCAGAAGCGCTCCGCAAGGTATCGCTGCCCATCATAAAAGGCGTGAAATGGCAGACGGCTGAAAACGCCGTC